TATATATATATAGTTGTACCCCCAACACCATAAAGTTCATAATTCGTTTCTTAAAAATCTATATTTTAATTAACCAATGAACTTTGAATGGAACTATAATTGACATCGACGTACCTAATACTAAATTAATTTCATGAATATTATCCCTAATAGAGCTTCCAATTTGAATGATTACGAACAAGTTCTTGAGCAAGAACCTAAAGCTAATAACTAATTAAAGCTGCGCAAAATAGAGAGAATATTGGAAAATATTTATGTATATAGTATCTTATTATCTCAATCATGCCTCTGCGCAACTCATTCCTCATCTCAATTTTAAAAACATAAAATATATTATTAAATTTTATTCAAAAATTAATATTAAAATTATATGTGGATGTATATTAAATAAATTTATATATTCATATATCATATCTATAGTAATATTTTTTGTATGTCACTAAAGTATCATTTATTATATTAAGTCCAAATTAATGATGAAATTCACAGATTTAGTTAAATTTTAATCCTTTAATCAAAAACTCTAATATGTAGAGTGAATAGAATTAAGACATGAAATTCAAGAAATTACATAATACTCAAAAGTTTGATGTTCCCAAATAATTGGTCAATCATAAGAACAATTATAATATCATTCCATGAGTTAGATATACACGAGACTTAGAGAATTGAATATTTTGAAGGTATCTAATTTAAAATGGTTAAAAAATAATTTTGTTATTGTTGCTACTAATTATAGGAGTAGCATGTGAAATACATATATTTAAAATAATTGAAAAAAATATCAAAAATGTTTAATTGAAATTAAAAGAGTAAGAGAATCACGATCTCAATCTCTTTTTTATCAATTGAAAATATAATAACGACATCAAAATTTAAACTTAAGATCTTATACATCCTATTTCAACTTTTATCATTAAATTCACTCTAATAGTTCAAATTTTAAAATTTTACTCTTTAAATTATATTCTAATTTATCATATAAAAATAGATTAGGTCATCTCATTTGTCATTGTTAATTTGATTTTTCACAATCCAATTATAATAATTTTTAGAATGTGACATGCATACATGGACAAAGTTGATAGAATAATTTTTCTTAAAATTAAGAAATCTTACCTGCCCACATCTTAAGGAGTAAGGATCACCTCATCGACTTTGACATCTTTGTCAAGATAGAGGTTCATTTTTTATGATTCATTGTAGTGATTATGCTTTGAAATTTATCGCAATAATTGAACAAGTTAGCTCATATATCAGATGGAAAGGATAAGAAATTTCAGTGTTCCATAAAGTATGTTAGACATTTTTGTTTTTACCGTTTAACCCTCTGTTTCCCTCGTTCCAATAAGTGACTGGTTGAAGAAAAATGTTAGGTTCACTTTTAACGGAAACATTACATAACGATCATAAACTCCTTTATTACATGGAAGCTGTGGAGTTTTTTATTGTATCCGCAAACATAGCACAACATAATTAAAGTAGTCACGAACACATAAATTTAAGAGACCACACAGAGTGTATTCACATAATACATATTTTGTGCACCTCAAATACCACAATAGGCCTTGATCCTAGATGAAGATTTTACAGCTTCTTCTGTGAGGAAGAAACGAAGATATCCATAATGGTCAAATGGTTTATAACGAAGAGGATGTTCCTCATCTACTAAGTTTTCTTCTGGTTCCATCACCTTCCCAGCATATGAAAGCAACCCCAAGCTGTATCTCTCTACCTCTGAGTTCATGAATACTTGGTGTACACAACCTCGTATCCTATCATTACTCCATACCTACAAAATTACATGTCCAACGGATTCAATCATATTCATGTAGTATACCAATTTTTTTTGTTGTTGTTAATAATGTATATGTCTGATTAACGGGGTAATAATCAATTACTAGCCCACTAGTCAAACATTACACAACATAAATGAAAAAGAAAAAAAAAAGTTTATGCATCACTGAGTTTTTAAAAAATAGTTTTTGGTTGTGATTTTGATTGCAGCATTTGCAAATTTTGAAACTGTATTAGCTACAGTTATCACCAACGACCACGAATATAGCTTGAACTGGAAGATTACATTAAATAATATAGATGACAGATGATGAACTTAGTTGAAAGTTCTGCGAAATATGAGGACACAGAGACTAATTATCTATTTCTGACTTTCTGTTAATTGTTAAATACTTCTCAAAGAGCATTACTATTTATTTGTTGGGAGAAGTCATTTCCTTGAGTGTATCTCAATACTTTGAAAGATTAGTCAACAAATACCTTAGTTTACCACAAAATAAAATAATATTACTAGTTTCTCACTCTGTAAAAAGTGACGGTGAAAAACAAATTACCATGAATGCATCACCAGCCAAGACAGCAAACATGGAGGGTGAGGCATCAACCTTGAACCACTCTCCATCCTTCAATTGAATTTCTAAGCCATTTAATCTTTGATTCAATATAGTTAGGAAGCCTGAATCTGTATGAGGACGCACTCCTAAGTTGGTCTCATCCACCTTTGGTGTTCTGTATTTGTAGCATCTGAGAATATAATCGGTTGATTCAAGCAAAGACTCACATTTCTGATTCTCCAATCCATAGCTCTCAAACACCATTTTCTTAACAACATAATCCAGTTCTGCCACTTTCTTTGCATAGGAATTCACACTTTCACTAAAAAGGTAAACACAACACATACATAAACATGAAAAGTGTGATAAACAGCTTAATTAAGCATTTTTTTAATAACCATAAAGTTTATTCATTAATAAAAACTAACTTATACATAAATTAAAAATAATATTTTGAAAAAATTAATAAAATAAAGCTTTTACAAATTAGTTTATGTATAAGTTAAATGAAAAAAATTTATCTTTTCATACTTTTCTTTTATTTTAGAAGTATTTTTGGAGAAATTAATCATGACACACTCTATTAATTACCTGAAACGGTCATTCCCTTGTGGCCACATGGTAGTTGTGTAGTTGTGACAATCTTTAGCATTCAATGGATTGTCTATGGCCATGGATTCATACAAAGGAATATCAGGGCGTTGCCCTGCATAGCTATAGATAGGTTTATCAGTGGTGTGTTGCATTTTTGTTTCCAATGGAAGATCAAAGAGTTGTTCCATTGCAGAGAAGACAGAGTCATAGAGCAATGGATCAACCTTATCATAGAGTGCTAGGAATCCACCATGATCCTCTAATGCACCCCTCACAACATCACAAGTGGAAACCCATGTGTCAGTGCCAGGTTTAAGGTTTTCATCACTGAAATCAATGACAGGTAGAGAAAGATGAGACTCTCTTTCTGATCCCATGATTGATTCTTCACAACTTTTGGAACACTTGTGTGTTATTTATATTTGATTTGAATCCTATCTTAAATTAAAACCTGAACGATTTGGCTGGTATTGGTGACAATGGACAAGGCTTATTATTGAATTATAACTACAATTCCTTTTTCTATTTGCCGTACAACCAATATATAAAATTTTCATACTGTTTTCCAATGTCACGGTTAAACATATATCTTCACAAAAGAAATTCGAATATTCTTGTTAATTTTATGGCAGTCATGACAATATTTTTCTTTTTTAACAAAGAGAAATTCGTAGCATTTCATTCATAATAAATAAGTCAATACAAGTGAAAATCAAATCGAAAACATGAAGACTAGCATGAGAAAATACTTAAGAATAAGAAAAATAATAAATTAATATATGAAATAATTCTTTTATGTACATACATGAAGGATCATAATATATATAGAGATAGACCCGCACATAATGAATGTTCGTATGCACGTATTCTGCTGGTAAATTAATAATAAATACAAATAATAATAAATTTTTTGACAAATTATGGGTAAGAACAAATATTTTGTTCTGGGCGTTTTTCGAAATACAAGTTTATTCATAGATGATTTTCTGTCTGGTTTGGTATGGTTGGATGCTGCTATGGATTGTGGTTTTGTTTGAGAAATGACAACAGACAATAGTTAAATACTTCAACTTGTAAACATCTTATCAACTTGTAAACATCTTATCAGGCTTAATTACTACTTAAATATAAGGCTTACATGTTTTTAATTAGTCACTTATGAGATAAATTTATTTTTATTTTTTAAATTTAAAATAAATATATTTAGTCTCTATAATTTAAAAAAAAAACCATTTTTTTAATCTAAATGTAGTTAATGAATCTATTAACCAAAATCTACATACTACAAAATTTGTCACACAAAACTCACTTTAGAGTACATTTATGAGTGAAAACATCAATTTAATTAATTCAATTTGTCTTTGTCGTGGTCTTAAAAGACTAAAATAATTTATTTTCAAATTAAAGAGATTAAGAATATTATTTTTAAAAGTATAAAAAAAATTATCTTAAATTTAAAAAAAAATTAAACTTTGTAATAATGAATCTGTTTGTTTTTTTTTCTTAAAAATAATATTTTTGATAAAATAAGAAATTTTTGTTTTTTTATTGTGTTTATTTAAATTGATTATTTTAAAAATAAGCAATTTTAATTATTTTAAGAAGAAAATCTTAAAAAACATTTTTTATAAAAAAAATTTAAAGAAGCTGTCTGATATGTTGTGGTGGATTATAGTGTTGTTTTGGTTTTGGTGAACCAATGGACTGTATACAAAGTAATCCGTATGTTTTATATTTTTATTTCCGGAGCAGTAGAAATTTCAGCCCTGTTTCCTGTTTACCCAGAATTGGGTTTAAAACCGTACTTTCAAGCCCATGGGCCCAAGAGTATACCTCGGCCTATATAATGATTTTTTTAAAGGCCCAACTCATTGGTTTCCTCTCACACCCCGCCACCAAATTGGCTCGGCCTACATGCTAAATATTTATTTATAATAATAAATTATATATATAAACAAAATATTATATTTAAATATATAAATTAATTTATAAATTGAATAAGATAAGAAATTAAAAAATTCTTATAAACCATCACATTTTATATATAATTAAAATTTATAATAAATTAAATATAATAAATGTTATGTTTTAATATATAAATTATATCTAAAATTTGTATGAATATTAAATAAATATTTTAAACATATAAATAATATTTTATATTTATAATAAATAATTTTTATTATAAAAAAAATTATTTTTATTTATTGATAATTTAATTATAAATATTTTATTTCTCCGATTGTTTTACATTCATATATATATATAGAGATAGATATAGATATATAAACTAATATATATATCTAAGTGATGTAAATATATTAATATAATTGTAGTTATTTTTTTCTTACTAATTATTTAAATTTTTTAAGAATAAAGACTATTACGGATTATTATATATTATATTTATATTGAAATTGCATGTAATTAATAAAATTAATGTTGTAAAAAATAATATTTTATCATGTTGTTAAAATTTAAATTTTCTATAATTAATTTTTTTTCTTGAATTTATGCTATAATTTTTTATACTTGAAATGTTTTTTACGTGAGTTTTGTGAAAGAAAATTTAGCATAATTTTTTATTTTTATATTATATATTTATACGTGAAATATTCTTTACGAAAATTTTGTGAATTGAAATTTTAGCATAATTTTATTATTTATACTCATTTTAAAATATTTACAATTAATAATTAATATTTTATTATGTCATTACAATTTTAATTTGCTGTAATTAATATTTTTTTGTGCAAAAAATCTTGAAAGGAAATAATATTAAGAAGAGGAATTATTGCATGTAAATGATATAGAAAAAAAATTTATTATATAAAGAATTTATGAAATTGTTCGCTTTATTACTAGTTAGATAAAATAAAGTAGATTGGTTGATGTTTTAACAATAAAAATAAATTGTATTAATTGATGTTTTGAATTTTTAATATTTTTTTTCATTTATGTCCCCCAAAAAAATGTTATTATTTTTTTGGTACTTAATAATACATTTATAAAAAAAATTAACAAAAGAGAACATGGCTATTTTAGTGAAAATGTTCCACTAATTATGTTATTTACTGGTTTCTTTACTTATGAGAAAAAAATCTTAAACATTAATCAATTCGAAATTGAGGGGTAGCAAACATTGGATAGGGCTCTATGCGTTGAATTTTCAACTGCATGAATCCCAACCATTAAAATTTTTATAAATTAAATTATAATGTTAGAAGAAAATTTGAATATACAAATTATGTATGATAACTTTGAAAGAAAAATTATAATTTATTAAGTATAGCTCTTTTATATATTAACTTTGGTCTTATATATAAGGAATTATTTAAATTAGGTTAAATTAACACAGATAAATAAACTAAATAATTAATTAAACTTATTATTTTCTATCTAATTGATTGATGCGTGTTTTAAGAAAGTAATTAATGCAGCAGATAGTTTAAATTAAAGTCTTATAAAAAATCAAGAACTATTCATACAAATATTCACAAACTTTTAACATCAAGTTTTATAAAATTTAAAATTAACTTATTTATATAATCAAATCTAAGTTTGACTAACCCCAAGCGTGTGGTTCAGCGGTAGGGGTTAATCTACGCTTAAGCAGGGCCAGCTGTCGGCGGTAGATACTCCAACGAACCTGGAAAAAAAAATCTAAGTTTGACTTTTATTTATTAAAACTATAAATTTAATCACGTTTTTAGCAAGTTGAGTTCCCAAATAACTCGTTAATTATGTTCTTAATTAAGATTAAAAAAAATCAATCCAATACATCATCACATCAATATTTTCAAATCTGACGAGATTACTGTCATGATCACAAATACGTATTAAATTTTAGATTAATAAAAAATTTATAGGCATTTGATATAGTTAATATTTAAAATTTACATATACTTTTTTTTAAGTATTAGTCAACCTTAAGGGTAATATATATCCATAAGTTCGAATCTTAATAATGTGTTTAGATAAAATATTTTAGAATTTTAAAGATTTTAATTTTTGAAAAATTTAAATTATTTTAATTTTAATTTTTATTAGTATTTAAATATTTTATTTGAATAAATCAATTTAAATTTTTAATTTTTAAATTATTTGTTTGAATGTGATAATTTGATTTCTACTATGAGTAAAATTGATTTTATATATATATTGAGATTTTAAAATTAAAATTTATAAAAATAAATAGTTTTAATGGAGAAAATACAAAATAAAAAGAGAGGGATTAAAAGAAAAGTGAAATAGGAGGGAGAGAGAGGAGAAAGAAAAGAAATAAAAATTAGAGAGAGAAGAAAGAAAAGAAATTGGGAGAGAGAGAAAAGAGAAAATAAAACATGAGAGATGGAAAAAAAATAGGTAAAAAGAAACATAAAATAAGAAAGATAAGATATGAGAGAGATAAAAAGATATATAGACAAATAAGAAAGAAAAAATATAAAAAAATAAATTCTTACTTTTTAAAAAGAATTTGAAATCCGCTATTTTAAAAAACTTTACAAATACTTAAAATTCAAATTTTTTGAAAAAAATTTATCTAAATAAGGTATTTTACTTCAAAATATTTAAAAATTTTCCAAAAAAAAAAAAAAAGAATTGTTCTATTTAAATTAATTTCTCATCCAAACACATCTAATAAAACTTATTTTTTTATTCATAAAAATTACAGTAACGACAACATAATTAGAACTGAAGACTCTAAACGTATTACTCCAATATCTCTATTACTATGCTGCCCTTCGGATATAATGAATATATAACTAAACAAAAAATCAATTAATTTTAAAATTTTATAAACTTAATATAGTGTTCCAATAATATATACTAGAGTCTTTGAGTGTATTTTGCAAATACATTGACATTTAACTAGAAGCCATTTAAAAGATCTATGAAAAGATTCCCATCATTTTCACATAAACATCATTGTTAACTATTATTAATATGTATAATAAAAAAAACTCAGTTATGTACCAATATTACATATGATCTTATTGGTTATTTCTCTTGTTTTCTATTTTAAGGATGTAAAGAAACAAACATATTAGAACATAGAAAGAGAAGCGTTTGTGTTAAAAAAGAATATAGGAATGATTAACTTGTGGTTTGAATCCTACCAATTGTCTACCTCTAAGCCACAATTTCGGGCATCCAAAAACCGTTGACATCAAAACAAAACCGGTTCTTGGCGGAATGAAAATAAAATAAAATAAAATAAAATAGGGTATATTCTATTCTGCAATCGAAATTTAAAATAGGGGCTGCTACTAAGGGACGGTTACACTTGTCTCAAATTGACCACAAATTTCGATTCTATCATTTTTTTTTAAATTTGTCTATTATATTTGAATAAATTTCATAATCAATTGTTCTGATACCAATAAATTGGTAGTTTGAATAATAATAGATTCGATCGTCCAAAAT